TCATTCAAGTTTTATAGTTTTCTCATATTGATAGTGTATCTATTTTATTAGATTTATACCTACACATTTCATTTTGGGATCCAATGTAAATGTTTTAGGGTTTTTAATTTCAAATTATGCTTATTCATTGATGATATATAGGAAAGCAATTGACTTTTGTTTATTAACTTTATATCTGCCAACATTGCTTAAATTGCTAATTGGTTACAATGAGTTTTTATGATTTTTTTTCTTCAGATTTTCTACATAGTTAATTATGTTATCTGTGAAGGAAAGCATTTTCATTTCTTCCTTTTCAGTCAATTTACCTCATTACTTTTTGTATCTTATTGCATCTCTAGGATTTCTAGTACAATGTGGAAAAGGAATGGTGAGAGGGGACATTATTTCCTTGTTTCTGATATTAGAAAGAAAGCTTTTAGCTTCACATTTTGGTAAAATTTTCTTTATATTTCTTCTGGTAAGATTTGTTGAGCTTCCATGGGTATGAGGGTTTTTTATCTTTCCATCAATATGAGGCCATTATTTCTGTAAATTCTTTTTCTTCTTTTCCCTTTTTCCAGGGACCTAATTATAATTTTATTGGTCTGCTTAAAATTTCCTACAGTTTACTCACATCTTTTTCTTTGTGTATTTCATTTTCAATTATTTCTATTTCTACTTTTATATTCACTTTTTCCTCTGCAATATTTATCTGCTCTTAATTATGTGAAGTTCATTTTTCTTCATAAACCTTGTTTTGTCCTCTGTAGAAATTCAATGTATGTATTCTTATATTTTCTATAATGAGTTTCTCTTTTTTCTTAAACACATAGACTACAGTTTTTCAACATTTCTATTTAATGCCTTCATTTACTTAATATATCATCTATACCATTATTCATTTAATTCAATTAATTGATTTTTGTCATGATTTTTGAGTGTAGTTTTTTAGAAAAGTATAATCAGAAGAGCCTTTAGTTTGTAATAAATTTTTCCCAACTATGGACACAATACCATTCTTGGGAATCTACTTGATACCCTGTGTATTAAAGGGATTTTTATACTCTGGCTACTAGAAATACAGCATATTGAAGTCATAGATTGACCTGGGGCCTTGTTTTCCTACCCATTCTGAGTAGTTTCTTTAAAAAACTTGGAAAATTTTCTCACATGGGTATATAATTAATTATTTAGCTAAAAAATAAACATGGAATTATTTGTAAATCTCCAGAGTTCTCTCTGTATGAAGTGCGTGCTCGCGCTCTCTCTTGCGCTCTCTCTCTCTCTCTCTCTCTCTCTCTCTCTCTCTCTTCCTAGAACTCTGCCCTGCAAATTCTAGACATCTGGGTTTCCCTGAAATCCTAAAACCCCACCTCTGAAAGTTGGAGTCTTCCAGGTCAGTCTGAGTTTCTTATGCCTTTTTATGGCTTTGAAACTCTTTCTTTAGGCAGTAAGTTTGAGTAGCTGTAGAGTTCACTTCTTTTGTTCACCGTATCTCAGTAAGCACTGTGTTGCTCTGTTTCTTGTTCAAAGTTTAAAACTCTTATTTTCTATATTTTGTCTTTCTTGTTTGATTAATGTTTTCTCTGTTTTTTTTTTTTTAATCTTGTCTGGAAGTAGCAATCACTCATAGTCCCTTTGGTTTCAAATATATTATTATTATTTTTTTCTATTATTATTTTTCAGACAACTTTTTGCACTATGACCTTTCATGCTCTGGAACTCTTACACTGTATGTAGTTTTGCATAGAGACTCAATTTTATTCCTCACAATGTGAACTGGTTTTCTCTGTACTCTCCATTGAATAATCTATAGTTTCTGCGTTCATTTGTTGCAACACACTTTAAAATATTATGTTTTTTTTATTTGCATGGAACTCATTTTAAACTTTCTATGCTCTTTTATTGATTTTTGTTGTTTTGCCAATTTCATTCTTCTTTTAGTATTTTATGGCTTTGTATTGAGGTCTCCTGTTTCTTCTTTTTTTTAAAAAAAAACTTTAGTTTTTTTTCTTTTCTTTTCTATTGCTATAGCATTGGTTGGAATATTCTGTACTTTGTTAAATAACAGTGATAATAATGGGCACCCTTGGGTTGTTCATGATCTTAAAGGGGAATCTATAGAATGTCTTTCTGAGTATAATATTTGACCTTTCCTTTTTAATACCTTGAAGGAAGATTCATTGCGGCAGTTGAAAGTTATAAAATCAGTTTAAATCTTAAATTGTTCACATTCACTTAACAATAGCAATTACTCATGTCAGCAAATTTTAAATACTAAGAATATGGTTCTACATAGCTTTTGTATTAAAGCAATAAAATGTATAATGTATATTAAAAACATTGAATTCCTCTGGATTTAAAGTGTATCATTCAGGCTGGGGTTATAGCTCAGCCGTCAAGAGCTTGCCTGGTAGGTGTGAGACACAGGGTTAGATTCTCATACCATAAATAAATAAATAAATAAATAAAGAATGAATGATAAAATAAAGATCCATTGACAACTAAAAACTTTTTCTTAAAAAGTGTATCATTCAATTATACTGAAATTTATGTTTATCCATGTATTTTTTCCTACAGGAACATTAAGATACAACAGACACTTAACTCAAGTAAAATAAACTTCAAAATATAGTTTTACCGAGGCCTTTTTGAAATTAAGCAGGTTATGTTGTCACTATGAGACCAAATTTTGTTATGTGTAAAATTCAGACTTCAATATCTATCTCAAAGAATATTTATAAACATTAAATGAGCTATGAAAGTAAAATGGCATATGGTGCATTAAATAGAGTAAAAAGCTTCTTTCTTTAGTAGATATTTATTTCTGCTCTGTATTGAGAAATGGGACAATATTGTTATGTGTAATTATGTGATGTATCTAAATATATGTTACATAATTATAATAGCTTTATAACATATTTTATAAAATATCAATAATATCATCATTATTAAAGTATTCACAATTTTCTCTGCTGCAACAAAATTTAACCTTTGAGTAAATACACATGGATTTACTCAAAATGGATAAAATTAAATACAGATTCTTCATATCTACAATCCATCCAATGATGTATTTGTTAAAGCAGCTTTTGGACTACCCATTTTCTCATCTAAATGGTTAAGATTATATAGAAAAAATAGAGAATATAGAAATTTTTGCCGTAATTTAGATTTCAATACATTTTCATACAAATGCATTTAAATAAAATAGTGCAATTTGAATGTTTGAGACCTTTTATAATTTAGATTGTTTTATAAATTTACTTTGCATAATGAGATTGGATGTTAAAAAGGAGAAAATTTAAATAATGTTCAAGATAAAATTTCTATTGATACATTTCAATTTACATGTAATATTAATTGGCTTGTTATATTGTTAAGATATATAAATACAAATAGAATATTCATATATTCAAATAAATGTACATGAAAATTCTATTTAGTTAATCTTAACTTTATAATGGGTTATTTTAAATAATGAAATTCAAGAAGAGTGCAATAAAGATTTGTAATTGAGTGAAAAACAAAAATGTTTGTTAGGACATAAAACATTTACTAACTATGGTAATGAAACATTTTTCATGGTGGGTGAAAGTTTCTTGCTTTGCAAGTGCATGGCTTTGCACATGTACATATTATATCAACTTACAGCTGATCATTTTATGTGGTCTTTGACTAATTTCCTGGTTATTTTTTAATTTTATTCTTTAATAACCAAGAATAGTCAGATGTTTTCCCAGTGAAAAGAGTGTGATTTAGTTACTCCAGAACTGAGCCATTATTTCTGAGCAGTTTATTTAGACTCAGGTGGTAGTGATTTGGGAGTTATTTTGCTTGTATGGGCATTCTATTTAAAAGAATGTGTCAAATCAGGTGGAGTGATGCATCCTGTATGTGGTTCCAGTCACTGAAGTGGAAGGATCACTTTAGCTCAAGAGTTTGAGTTCATATGAGACTTTGTATCAAAAGAAAAAAAAAAAAAAAGAAGTATCAGATTTTTATTTAGGAGTGTCAGTACTCAATGTAAAAACCCACCTTTATTTTGCATTAATAGATTCTAGCAAGTGAGTTTCCAAAAGAAAAGAAAAAAGGTAGGTAATTCACTTTGGAAAGTTGTCAGTTCTCCTACAGGTGCATAAGCACTGTGACTAGCAATTTCACACCTGGGATTTATTCAAATGTGCACCAGAAGGCATGTACAAGAACAAGCAAAGTAAGTTAAGATGAAAACAGGGTCCATAGTGGTTTCTTTGGGGGCTGGTGATCAGATTGCTCGTTCTGAATGGTGGTTAGATTGAGTTTAACACATAAGAAGTGTGTAGGGTGAGGGGCGTAGCTCAGTGATAGACTGCTTGCCGCCCCCACCTCCCCACCAAAATAAAAAGTATATGTAAGGTAAGAAAAGAGGATGATAGAAATAAGAGTGAGAAGAGGGTTCAATTCATTTATTTCGCCCTTCGTCACTTGTTTGCTTCCTAAATCCAACACTGAGGACTTGCTAACTCAGCTCCCAAATCGTCAGAGACCCAGGAACTTCTTGCCTGGGGCTCCTCCCGCTGGGAGGCGGGTAAGAATGGAAGTATATAGGGACTCAACGTGCGAGAAAGGGCTCAGCTTCCTTCCAGATCCGTACAACGGGACCTGCGGAAAGGAGCTGAGTGTGTAAGTGTGGGACGAACACACAGTGGCCGTGGCCCTGCGCGGGCGCTGCTTCTCACAGCTTCAGAGTTGACAGGCTGGACAGCGCCAGGGTGACTTCTGCTGCTCCTCTTGAACAGTGGGATAGGTGCTTCTAACCCTAGAGTGACAGATCTTTGTTCGCCAAAGGGCTTCTCTCCGCTTGCTATCAGCAAGAACAAGCCACTGCAAGACGGAACAGAGACACCACTGCTTTGCTTGATTTATTTAATTCTGAGCTAGCGGTGGCCAATGTAACCCCTGCCAGAGTGCAACTCTGGAGCTGTGGACCGACTTCTCCCCAGTCCCTGTGTGCTACGGGGACACCACAGCGTGACGGGTTGCTAGCGAGCAGAAAACTTGCCAGAGCGAGAGGGGCATCAGTTAAACCCAAGGAGTGTGCATTGCACTTCACGGGGCACCCGGACGCTTGAAAACTCCAGCAGACTCTCCCGGAAAGGACATCATGCCTCCCAAATCTTTCCCCAACCTCTCCCTGTTCATCGGAGCCAATCAGAGCGATTTCGTTCCCGAAGTGTCAGAAAAAGATTTCCTGCCGGGCTCCGACGGGACCACCGCGGAGTTGGTGGTCCGCTGTGTGATTCCGTCCCTCTACCTGCTCATCATCTCGGTGGGCTTGCTGGGCAACATCATGCTGGTGAAGATCTTCGTCACCAACAGCGCCATGAGGAGCGTCCCCAACATCTTCATCTCTAACTTGGCGGCGGGGGATTTGCTGCTTCTGCTCACCTGCGTCCCGGTGGACGCCTCGCGCTACTTCTTTGATGAGTGGATGTTTGGCAAGGTGGGCTGCAAACTGATCCCGGCCATCCAGCTCACCTCCGTGGGGGTTTCTGTGTTCACGCTCACTGCCCTCAGCGCAGACAGGTAAGACCACAGGTAGCAATGGAGTGTTGGGGAGAAGAGGACATGGTGGTGGGGGGAGCGGGGAAGGAAAGAGGGTGGGGAGGATGCTAGGAAAGGCTGAGAGTGGAGAGGGAGGTAAGGAGGGAGGGAACGAGAAAGAGAGAATGGGGGAAGTAGAGTAAGTGGAGTTAAAAAGGACTGAGATATGAAGCTTGAAAAAAAATTACAAAAAGTTAAGTAAAATAATTTAAAGGACATTACCTTTAATATTGCCTATCCTAGTTCCTCTATTCCTGTACATACTTTGGAAATCTTTATTATCTCTTTCATAGAAAACCTATTGAACACGTGAAAGTGCAACTATTTTGTGGGATCCCTTTGTGTGTGCCTAAACCTTAAAAGTGTACTTTCCTTACTCAGTTGGGAAATACTCTGATATGTTAAGAATGTCTGCTTTAGTATTAGGGATATGTTTTAGATTTCTTTTTCCAAATAAGAAGCATCATTTACACACACAAATTATGTACTATTTATGGAAGTGAAACAATAATAAATGTTCTTCAGACAGATGCTTTTTCCCATTCTTCCTATTTAATATTTGAAGTCAGGTTATTTTATTTTTCACAGATAAAACAATGCTGTAAAATATGTCTTTGATATCCAATATGCTTTTTACATTCTAACAATGTGAAATGTCTATTATTATACCTGGCAGATTAATTGGTTCAACCTCCTCCTTTTCCATGTGTAGGTATTGAAGCTAAGGGAATGTAAGTCCACTTGAAAGAATGGGGAGGAAAATTCTAGGCCTCCTAACCCAGAATCCAGTGCTGCTATCCAGAATCATGCCTTTGGGTGTTTTAGCAAGAGGACTAAGTCAGGCAGGGGACAAACTCTATGATTAGGTGTCATTGCATGGAGCTGTGGTCTAAATTCCCTGAAAAAGGGGGAGGGAGAAGAATTAAGCTATTTAGATAAACATCTTGGATAATTAAGGTGAAATTAACTCTTCTCTTTAATTTACATATTAAATTCTTAATGAAAATGAGTCTAGAACTGAATTTGATGGTATTTGCAATAATACCCTTTTTTTAACTTAGGCATTCACCAACACTTCGTTGAAGGAAAGATAATATTCAGTGGAAAGCTGAAAGTCATTATTTTTTAAAAAACTGGAAATGATTTACTTAAGTTCATATAGTATATTCTCTAAAACTGTAATCCTGGAGAACTGGGTGACTTTTGTGCAAATGATTTACTTTTATCTTTTAAAAAATTTTCTTTAACTTCCAAAACTAAAATGTGACGTTTTAGTTTAGCTGCTCCTCTGTATGGGAACCACTTTAATTAAAAAGTTAAAAAAAAAAGTCTAGTTAATTATTTTAACAAACCAATGATTAGATGTGACACAATTGGAATTACTATTATTATACTTTCTTTTTAGAACATGACAGTAGCAAAAACCAGGGCTTGATTTAATTCCCACAAGTTTTTTCAAATTATTGTCATGGAGGCACACAGGTAAATTTGCTCTGTTTAGGGTTACAAAAATGCAAATCTTCATATAGTTAGTATTTTTTTTTTAGTTTTATATGCATATAAGTTACTTTGTGCATATAGCACAGATATTTTAATTATAATGCTAAAGAAAGGTGGGCTACCCTCTACTTGGACCACAATCTACCTTTGTCTATTTTCAACTTGTTCCGAGGAATTTAAGGCAACTTACAAAACAACAACAACAACAACAACAAGAAACAACAACAACAACAACAAAAAACCCCACAAACAACACATAACAGAAATAAAAGGGAGGAAACCATAAAAAGGGAAATAAAAATGGGTAGGAAAAATAAAAGTTGAAAAATATAAGATGACCCATACTTCACAAAATATGAGTTATAAAATTTTCTGAGTGCTATCTAGTTGCTAACTCAGGAAGGAAAATTTGCTTTTAATAGAAAGAACTCAGTTGTTTTTATATAACCACAGAAATAGGATGAATCATAAATTCTGCACCTAATTCATTGGTTTGTTATCAAGTGAAGGTTGTTATATTTGATTGCTAGAAATTAGATGTCTTTAACACATTGAGCTCAATTACATCCAGCTCTTTTCTCTTTCCTTAGGACCACCATTTCCTGACTTAGGAAGCTGCTATATGATTCTCACAGTATTTATAGTATTGCCATGCTTTATATTGCTCTATAGTTTTTGAAGATTATTCATCCACCTTGATCTGAAACCTGTGGGACTATAAATAAGGAGAGCAGGCACACAGCTGGAGTTTATGGCACCTGGGTACTAACCTTGCATCTGTTATGCCCAAATGTTTACCTGGAGAAAGATGATAAAACAGCACAATACCTATGCTCACAAGGCAGTGTACTCCTCAGTTGCAAAATAAGAATAACATGTTCAACATGGAGTAACAGATGCTAAAGGCAGGCATCTGATTCTTCAAATACTGAGCTTCTGCAGGATTTTAACTGCTCTGTGCAGCTGCTAAATGTGCACCCATTGCACTGAACAATTTATAGGAAGCCTGTGGCAAAGATGCCCATAGCTGTACCCTGTCTTTTTGAAAAATCATCTCTAAACCTGGCTGGTATTCAGAATTACCTGAAAACCTTAATAAATGCAGAATCTCATTTTGTAGACATTGCATTGCTAAATCTGGGGAGAAACTTAATAATACTCTTTATCTTTTCTTTTCCAGTTCTCTAGGTGATTCTGAAGATGGACATATATTAAGCATTGTTAGCCTTCTCTACATTTCTCACCACCATTTCCACTTCTACCTAATACCTAATGACGCCTACTTCATTCTACCACAGTTGGTCTTAATAAGAGATCATCTTTTTATTCAGGCAACATTGTCACTTATTGAGGACGTACTGTGGGCCAGGTATTATATTGTGTACTAGAGATACAGCAGAGAGAAAGCCCTCTCTTCTGTTGCATATAGTTCACCCTTAGACTCTTGTTGGTTTTTTTTTCCCTGCCTGATAAATTAAAGTTTGAATAAGAAAAGGAAAAAAAAAAAGAGAAGATAATGTAACTAGAAATATTGTGGAAATGTGGAGATGGAAATTTTGAGGTGTTGTAAGAGATAAAACATAATCTAATTTTGTATTATGATTAAATTTCATTATCTCTTTACATTAAATTTAGACTGTACACAGATAGCAAGATTCACAATAGGAATTGACAAAGAAATCTCTTCATTGATACTTAATACATGAATAGTGATTATGATTTTCTATTTCTATTTTTTTGATTAATTATTCCCTACTATGCAGTTAGGGATGACATTCTAACACTATTCATAAGGGAAAATGTAAATTTTTACAAACACCTGTTGTGCTAAAGAGTTCAGTGAAACAGTTTTTATAGTGAGAGACATTTTCCCCACATTTTATATGAATATTTCAAGGAAGTATGATAAAGCATGCCCATATTTATATGCAATAGATGGTTTTAGTTTTTACTTTCTATGCTTCTAAAGATGCACATGCAACAGTGGTTGGTATATAATACATTCTTTGATGCTTGTGAGCTGTGTTTCAGTACTAATAATAACACTGTACTGTGTTATTTTCAACTGCAGTTTCTAGTTTTGTAGAATTTGTACTACTGCCCTTTCATTTAAATATGTGTCCTTTAGAGAGGATTCCTGGGTTTGAGCTCCTTATCTCACAAGAAGTAACTCAACATCTTCCCTTTTGAAAAGATTGTCTTACCCTTGTCCCAATCTTGCTTGAAAGCGCCTTGCTTTTCTTAAGTGAATAATTTTATATCTGTTGCAAACAATCTTATCAGACTGAATGATTTACAGTTTCAATTCTTATTTGAAGTGTCCCAGCATACATTATTCATACCTGCTACGGTATGAATGTTTATGTCTTCCCTCAAATTAATTTAATTAAATTCCAACCCTCAAAGTTATAGTGTTGGGTGTGGGGATTGTGGGAGGTGATCAGGTCATGAAAGTAGGGCCCTCATGAAAAAAAAAATAGTGCCCTTATATAAATAACTCTAGAAAGACCCTTGTTCCTTCCATCATGTGAAGGAGAATCAAAACGTCACTGTGCATGTACTAGGAAGAGCATTGAATCTTCAAGCATTTTTTTTTAGACTTGCTGGTCTCCAGAACTATGAAAAACATATCTGTGATGTTCATGAGCTACTCAGTCTAGGGTATTCTGTTATAGTAGCCCCAATTAACTAAGATAGTGCTTCTGCAATAGCATGTGCTTACACATTGTGGAGAGAAGTGACAGTTTTCTTCTACTTTATAAATACACAGAGGGAGTTCAGAATGCCATTTGTGATTTTTGATAGTCCAAAAAGAAGGCTTGATCTAATTGAAGAGATCACCTATCTGCCTTTTTAAAATCTTCCTCCACATAAAAATAATTTATAATCTTGTTTTGTACTTGTTTCTTAAATATGAATTATCAATCAATAATTATCTAACTTTTGGGAAGAGATTCCAGCACAAAGAGATAAAACAAACAAAAAGTGGAACTATGCAGGAAGGTAAAGATTAATTTTTTCTGTTTGAATTTCATAAATAATATAAGAAAATACATGTATAACAGTGATATGACACTATGAAAAAAAGAATGATTTGAAAACAAGAAAGAACTTTTATTTGAACAACCAACAATAAAAAAAATTAAAAAAAGAACTTTTATAAAACACAAGTATTGTAGTAGAAATAAAAACTTGATGATAAAGGATGAAAACTAAAACTAGTAAAGTATCTTAGAAAGTAAAACCATAAAAAAGGTAGAGATATGCTTGATGAATTGGAAACTGAGAAAGAAGAAGCACTGAAATGCAAGAACTGTGTTTCCAATTATACAGGAAGATGGTAAAGGAACATATAAAAATACTAAATCTAGGTACATGGGAAATTATGCAAATGAAAAAATGAACAAGTATTAAGTCTAGGATAATCAGAAATGCTAATAAGAAAAAACATCCTAATATATGATCTTAGTATAGTACTTTATTCTGAAGTGAACAAATGATTTCATAACAATAATTTTGTATCACCTATATTTAATAAACACCATGCAAATGACTAAATCAGGACATTGGGCTTGGAGTGGGGTAAAGATAATATAAGAGGAAAATCTTGAACTTCCACAAAAAATGTTGAGAACTGATATTAATACTTAATTCAAGAAACAGTATATTGTTTAGAAATAGGACAGTAAAGATATGAAATTTGTTTTAATCCACGAGTGGGATGAAACTGGCATTTCTATTTTTATTTCTAATTTAAAAAATAAAACCTCTGAATGTATTCATCTGATTTAAAAAATAGAAAAATATAGCTCATTCTAATTCTTCTTTTATTTCCTTAAGAATATGCAATTAAGAATAAGGGAAAGTAACACTTTCTACCATGTTGGAAACCTGGGGAATGTGCACTGTACATGCTATACATAATTCAGTGTGATTGCTATACTGTGGCTCTCCTTTAATTTCTCTGCATTTTGTTTCATATGGGAAGTTCCTCTAGGTTAAAATATGAATTGCACCCTTCCCCATGGAGGGTCTGGAAAGATCACTTGGGTGAGTCAGGACGTGGGAGGGGCTGCTTGGGGGTGATGTTGAAGCTGTGAGCTATTCATCTCTACTGGGGAGTAGAATCTTAACAGACCAGAGAAGGAGACCTAACTGGTTGTCATGAGTCTTGGAATATGCTGACCTTTATGAGCATCAGAAAAATTCAAGTTTAAATAAGGAGAAGGTACACAGAAGTGACATGGTTAGGATCTGCTATTTGTCTGGCTCTTAACAGATGTTTTTTACTTTTTTCCTAATATCTCCCCCACCACCACACATATACACAAAATGAGCAAAGTGTTCTTGTCTCCACTTTACAAATGAAGAAAATTCAGATCTCAAGTGATTTTCCCAAAAGATATCAGAGATGTGATAATAATTCAGATTTGTCTGACTAAAATCACTTTTTACTGCATCTTGTTATCTCCTAGACAGACTGCAACTTAAAATGCTTCTGAATACAAAAATAAATAAATTGAGGCCTGCATACAATTTTGATTTGTTTGCACCATCATTATGTCAATAATGTATGTGAATGACTTTGCTGTAGAAAGTTTTGAACTAAGTTGTGTCCTGGAGTATGAATCCTTTACCACTAGTTATAATTGATGTGTGACCACCAGTAGTACTTTTGGTGGGATGAGAGAGACTTTTAGGAATTGCTGGTATGAGCAATAAAGAAAAATTCAAGCTATAAGAAAATACTGTTCCATTTTCAATTCTATTTTTTTTTTTGTGGTACTATAGATTGAACCCAGGGCCTTGTACATACAAGGCAAGTACTCTATCAACTGAGCTATATCCCCAGCCCTATTTTCAATTCTTATGATTGGATTATAGAAAAAGTTCCAATTTGGATTAGTAGCTAAGATTTATTATTGTCTTTAGGAAGAAAGTTGGAGGTCTGAGGCTCAGAAGCTGTAGAATATCAAGGTTGAATATAATTGTATTATACTATGGACATTTAATGTCTTATGGATGTAGACTGTCTATAGCAATGACAATAATAAAATTTTGAAAATAAAAGAATTTAAACAAGAAAATTCAATAAATGATGATACTCAATGAAAGGTGAGACATGTAGTAGTATGTATAGATGAAGAAAAAATTGTGAAATAGGTAAACAGAAGATAATTCGAGAAATCCCAATTTAAAATATTTTTTCTCTTTTCTTGTCTTGCATACTCATTATCAGTGGAAAGACTTGAGACAGAAACACCAGGGAACTTAGTTCTTCCATACACTACCAAAGAGCCAGGTAGCAAGAGAAGCACTGGTACCTCTTTCCAAGTGATATTTCCTTCTTTATTTTTTTTTAAGGAATAATTCGAGATGAATTGTCTTTCTAGGTACAGAGCCATAGTAAACCCCATGGACGTGCAGGCATCGGGGGCTTTGCTGTGGACCTGTGTGAAGGCCGTGGGCATCTGGGTGATCTCCGTGTTGTTGGCAGTTCCTGAAGCTGTATTTTCAGAAGTGGCACGCATTGGCAGCTTGGATAATAGCAGCTTTGCAGCATGTATACCTTACCCTCAGACAGATGAATTACATCCAAAGATTCATTCGGTGCTCATATTTTTGGTCTATTTCCTCATACCACTTACTATTATTAGCATTTATTATTACCACATTGCAAAAACTTTAATTAAAAGTGCACATAATCTTCCTGGAGAGTACAACGAGCATACGAAAAAGCAGGTAAGCTTGGTAGATGTGTGTGCTGGGAATGAGTTGGTCGGAATAAACAACTGCCATTTGTGTTGTATTTCGTGGCTCTTTGTTCCCTGAATGGTGAGGAGACCATAGGACCTGCACTGGCTTTACCTAGAAGGGATGTTGGTTATCTCTAGTGTGTGTTTGTGTCATAGCCCTGCAAAGGTCCACTGGATCCAGTCTACATGTGTCTGTGACTATGACTTGCATTCCCTACATTAGAAATTAATATCTTTGAAGATTTTTATTTACATACAAATGTTTATGCAGACAGCAACATTATAAAGTCAAAAATTTCACATATTTAATACAAATTTACCTAATTTTTGTCTCTTTCATCATTCTACTAAGGCTGACAAGGGATCTGGGAAGAAGATGAACCAGAAAAGACTATAGGCACTGCCTGGGATATGAGGATAGGGCTTCAGTGGGATGCTGGAATGTGAGGCTCTGATAACATCAGAGCAGCATAGAGGGAATAAGTATCAATCCAGAGTTGGCTGAAAATACTGGTCTAATGCAAATATATAAACTTCCCTAAAAATTACATACTATTTAAAAAATTATAATATGTGTCTATATGCTTTTCTTTTCTTAAAGAATATGCAGTATTAATTTCAGGTAAAACTGTGTTGACTCACAAAGAGATACAAATTGTGTTCTTGTGGGAAAGTCTTTAGTAGCACATTTGTATAATTCTGGAAAAGACCTTCTAAATGATGTTGTTATTACAGGGGAGTATGGTTCCCAATCTGAGGGCAAACAAATTTTTTTAAAAATATTTATTTTTAGTTGTAGTTGAACACAATATCTTTATTTTATTTATTTATTTTTATGTGGTCCTGAGGATTGAACCCGGGCCACTCACATGCTAGGCGAGTGCTCTACCACTGAGCCACAACCTCAGTCCGAGGGCAAACAAATTTAATCTGAGATTATTAAAATTACTGGGATGTAGATAGAATAGTAGACTGGATCCTCTGGAACCTTTGTTAAAATTTAAAAAAAATAGTTGTCAATAGATCTTTATTTAATTTATATGTGGTGCTGAGAATCAAACGCAGGGCCTCACATGTGCTAAGCAAGGACTCTACCACTGAGCCACAATTGCAGTCCCCTCTGACACATTTAACAACAGCAAAAACTGGTAAAAATTTCTTGAGTGGAAGGTAACCACCATTAACTGATAACCATCAACACTGAAGAGCCACATCTGCTCTAAAAATTTAAAAAGTCAATCAGTCTTTAAAGATAGTATTAGGTAAATTAACAGATTTGGATTCTACGTATCTGGCATCACTGAGGCAAAATGTCCAGCTTGTAGGCTCATCGAACATTTTACTTCTGTAATGTGATTTCTATCTCAAATTGGACATTTGTGTTTTGGGTTTTGATTTCTAAAGATGAGTTCTTCTCATACAACATCATCCCGTACCTTTTTTTTTGTTGTTGTTAATGGATTTTAAATCTTTTTTTTAGTTGTAGATGGATACAATACCTTTATTTTGTTTATTTATTTTTTTATGTGGTGCTGAGGATCAAACCCAGTGCCTCAAACAAGTTAGACAAGCACTGTACCACTGAGCCACAACCCTAGCCCCAATGGTTTTTTGTTCTACCTTGTCTTTGTGAATTTGCCTATTGACATCCATAAACTCTGGCAGAGGTAACTGGGTCATCTGCCAAGAAGTCATCTCAAGGCCCCCAGCCTACTATACTCTAAATCTCCTGGCATAGATTGCCATGGAATTCTGGTACCCATATTCCACCTGCTGGGAAGGACACTGCTGGATAACCTAGATTTCACACTGGACATTGCTGAATCATCTAAATTAGGCCATGGGGATACATCTGGACCACTCATGTTGCTTCCCAAGGTCAGCTCTGTTTTAATCCTAAAACTTTCCAGTCTTCTCTGGAATATTCCAGTTGATGAAGAATAGTTCTACCTAAAAAAACGTGATGTCTACCATCATTGTCTTTTGATAAGTTATGTTTCCCCATTGTACTGATTTATATAAATATTCAGGCCAAATGGACAAATAACTGTTCAAACTTGGACTTTTGATGTTAGATATAATCCATGATTATTTAAACATATCAAAATAAATTCTACTGTCATGTATAACTAAACAGAACAAATAAAAATACTAATGTTTGGTATCTGAATTTTGTCTAGTTTCACATCTCTAAAGATATTCTTATAAAACAGTGTATATAACATAAATTTGATGAAAAAAATGTATTTTCATTTGTAAAAGTGATCTAACAGTAATGTTTACAGTGTTCCAGATGCTTTGATTTATGTGAGTTAGGAGTTTAAATTTCAAGTTCCTTTTCTTTTTTGTGTGTAGTCAGACTTTAAAAAAATCCTTTTTCATATATCATTTTTTTTCCTAAAATGCCCAGATTTTAAAAGAATATCTAAACTTGAATATATTCCTTGTATTCTTTAATTTAGTGTACTTAATACAAACAGAAACGACATATTTATACTGAACACAATGAAAATTTAAGCCAAGGAAAGTAGTTGGAAAATAAGAATGTTTTCAGATCACAGTTTTAACATGAACACGTAGCCATTTGAATAATTTACCATTACCAATTAAATAATAATTTACCATCTAGTCTTATGTAAACTCAATGAAAATAGTGTAGTGATCAAAATGGACTTTACCAAGCTGTTAAAATAATCATTTTGTTGGAAAAAATACATGTTTTATGTTTATGGAGTTATTGTCATGCTATCATAAGCTTCACTCTTCTTGTGTAAATTTTTAATGTGACAACTCTGTTTTCATTTTAACCAATGGGACTATTTCCTTCTGCTTTTACAGATGGAAACACGGAAACGCCTGGCTAAAATTGTGCTGGTCTTTGTGGGATGCTTTGTCTTCTGTTGGTTTCCAAATCACATTCTCTACCTGTACCGGTCTTTCAACTATAAGGAGATTGACCCATCTCTAGGTCACATGATTGTCACCTTAGTTGCCCGAGTGCTGAGTTTTTGTAATTCCTGTGTCAATCCATTTGCGCTTTATCTCCTCAGTGAAAGCTTCAGGAAGCATTTTAATAGCCAGCTGTGTTGTGGGAGGAAGTCCTATCCAGAGAGAAACACCAGCTACCTCCTTAGCTCTTCAGCTGTACGTATGACATCTCTGAAAAGCAATGCAAAGAACGTGGTGACCAATTCTGCGCTACTAAATGGGCACAGTGTGAAACAGGAAATGGCACTGTGATTATGGCCATTCAACTCACTTCTTCAGAAGAATTTTCTAACTTTCCTATTCCTATTGAGCAGAGAAGAACTCTTAAGTAATTTCTCCATTCTCAGTTAATTCGTTAGACATTTTAATGATCGACTCAGAAAAGGCAAGAAACAGTTTACTCCGAATGAAACTTTAAATTGCATTACAGACACCCATATGCTACACACGTATCTCATATTAAAAGTGATTCAAAAACCAATTTAATATGTGTATAGATGAAAATTGCTTCAGGATTTAGGCTGTGGCTAGAGCCAACTCTAGCATATTTAACTTAAATTTGTTTTCTCTTGAAGCATAAAATAAATTACTATATTGAGTCAATGATTCAACAGGGGGAATATTGAATTCCTATTATTAGGAATACAAGTTATATTTTCCTGGTGAGTACATTTTATTCATAACTAGTACACACATGTGCACACACACATACGTATTAGTAAAATAATGGAAAATAAAAAAGTGGAGCTTAATCACAAATCAATGTTTATTGTGATTCCTTGTGTGATAAATCGTAGCTTATAAAAGTAGCCTATATCTGTAACTTCTAGGAATGTAATGTGAAGGTATGATGACATTTGCATTATGAATTATAAATAGGTGTCATAACAGTATGGTTTACCTTATGAATGTTAAATTGGTTTCATGTGCCCCAGATTGTAAAATTATGACTCAGAAATTTGCATGTCTTTGTATACATTGCTAAATTCTTGACAGTTCTGTTGATTCTGTGTAAATGTGATAAGATTTGTGTAATTCTAGTGAGTTCTCATCCTCCTTGGCAATAGCCAGTTGACAAGTATGTGAAATCTCACTTAAGCAATTTTTCTATGCATGATATCACAGTTTTCTCTGAATGAATATCTTGATTTTTTTTCAGTAAAATGAAAACATGATCTCAATAAAATCCTAAAAGCTAGCCCCTTCTTAAGCATGTATCAATAAACTTAATATTTGAAACAATGTATTTCATACTATTGCTTTTTCCTAGTTTGCTGAGATAACTGTTTAAATATTTATATTTAAGCTCTTCTTTAAATACTGCTAATCCATTACATTTAACATATGAAATTTTCAATTGCATATAGCAATTGGAAAAATAAACACAAGAAAATTGCCTATGCTATTTGATGCCAATTAGGACAACAAGCACAAATAAAATATTTTCTGTGTTATAGGAATACTCCCAAAGATATACATGTATTATTTAACTCAGTCCTCAATATAATCACTGAGGTGAAAAAGACTAGGATCCAGTTTTGGCAGGGTATAAACTTATCCAATTTGGGGGCATCTTTTTTGTTTTTCAAAAAAGTATACAGTTTTGCAAATTAGATTAAAACATCTGGTGTTGTGAACACTTTATCAGGATCCTATTAGGCTTCATTTACTACATGGTACATTCACCTCTGAAGTAGGTCTTTTTACTATCTTTACTTTATACATTAAGAAATTGAAGCCCAGAGATATTAAATAACTTGAAGAAGATTAATCAGCCATGTGGAAGAGCTGGGCTATTACAGCAGATACCATGGCGTGATGTGTGCATCTCACTATTCCACTGCCACTAACCGGTGGCTTCCCATTACCTTGAAGAGTTGTTCTTCATCTGTAGACAAACTGTAGATCCTCCCATCATAAAGTCACACAAATAGCATTCACAGGATTTACATTGATTTTTAAATCTTCCAAGGACCATCCATTGAAACCTAAGGAGTCAGAGCCTCAGAGTAAAAATGTTGCTCAATGCAGAACTTTTCTTCTGGATGGTGTAAGATGATGGTACATACAGATGGAAATCTCAAGATACATAAGCATATATCTTGAATAGTCCTCCTAGTTTAATATATACATATATATATATTTTATATATATATATATATATATATATATATATATATATATATATATATTGTGTATACAGATGAAAACACTGCAATATAGATGAACACATATCTTTCAAGATAAATATGTATGTGAAACTATATATTTATATATGAAACTAAGGTATATGTATGCATATTAATCGTAAATTCCTAATAATTTAGTTTAAAAGAATAATGTTGTTATATAACCTAAAAATCAAATTTGTTTCACAATAAAAAACAATTGTTTATAAAATATTTTTAGAAAATTTTGACTTAACACCTATTTTATTAAAAATATTTTTCTGTAATGACAAATGATTGAAATGGCACCACAAGTTTCTATTTTTCTGTTTTTAGAAAGAATAATCTTAACAATAGTCACATATCAGAGCATATAATATTATCAATTTTTGTCTGCTTATAAAATTTTCCTTCTGGCTGTTTTAAGTAGATATTGAAAGTCAGAGTTTCTTTTAGTGTTAATCCTGCTTTCTAGAGACTCAGTCAATACTCTTACAACTCTGTTTGCAAATTAAGCAGGTTAAAGATTATCTGTGGAGACTCTTTTTAAAATTTGACTATTGCACCTTACTGTTGGGTTATAATGTTAATCCACTCACTTCCTGTTAGGATTTCTTATTTTCAAAAAGTTCTGTGAATTGGGCTGGGGATGTGGCTCAAGCGGTAGCGCTCTCCTCTGGCATGCGTTTGGCCCGGGTTCAATCCTCAGCACGACATACAAAACAAAGATGTTGTGTCCGCCGAGAAGTAAAAAAATAAATATTAAAAAAAAATTCTTTCTCTCTCTTAAAAAAAAAAAAAAAAAAAAAGTTCTGTGAATCACATCATTTTCTCAAATATGCCCTTTCTTTGGAATAGAGTCCTGAGAATTACTACATTGCAATATATTTTCTGATGCATAATCACATTTATCTCTCTTTCTCAGCATAAAGTATATTTTATATATATACACAAAATATATTTTATGATGAAAATGAGTCTTTAATGGTTGCAATTATCTTACACTTTCCAAGTCAAACAAAACTTCAGGCTTTAAATATCCACATTCATTCCACAAAGATTGGGATCATATTAAAATTACAGTTTGTACTTTGGCATTTATTGGGTTTCACATGTTTAAATCATACATGTCTGTTTTACATATTTACTTGTAGAAATATTTTTATAAGATGGTCAGACATATGATTTTTTTCCATTTTGCAATTGTTCAAAAGTGATATGCATTCAGTAGAAACTGCACTTTAGATTTTTAGTCATGATCCTCTCCTGAGTTGTTTAGTTATGGTACAATACTCTTGTGAAGCTGGGCAGCTGCAGTGGGCCACTAAGTCTTGATTATGAGGGTAAACAGCTGATTTTGTAATCTATAGGGAGTTATACTAAAAAAAGTGTGAGATAATCAATACTTTATTATAACATAGGCCTTCTATTTAATAATTTTGCCTCATTTTAGGTTAATATAAGTGTTCTGAGCTTAGTGTAGGTAAGTCTAAAATATGATGTTTGGTTGGTTAGGTGTCTTAAATTCATTGATAACTTTGATATTTTCAATTTACAATGGGTTTATCAATTTTTGGGGGGGTTGGTAACTGTATTGTAGATTGAGATTATCTATATTTGTTTGTGAACATTTGAAGATTTCATGCCGCAGCCCGGTTGTCTGGGCAAAATAACCAGGGGGTGATGAGCAACTTGTGTACGTTGATACAGCAGGAGTAGGAGCCGTTTATTGTAGGACAACCAGCTTATCTTAATTAACATAAACTAGATACAGCAGTCAACCAATAAGGAATCTCCACACTTAGTGGCTCGCTGGCGTTACTTCACAAACCACTCCCTCTGCAAAATGCCAGGCGCCATCTTGACTTGTTTACAGATTCTAACAATTTCACTGCTCTTCCTATTGTTTGTTTTTCTTTCTTTCTTTTTCTTTTCTTTTTTTTTTTTTTTGGTACTGAGGATTGAACTCAGGGGCACTCTACTACTGACCTACATTTCCAACCATTTTTTTTTTTTTTAATTATTTTGAGACAGGATCTCGCTAAGTTGCTTAGGAACACACTAAGTTATTGAGGCTGGCCTCGAACTTGCAATTCTCCTGCCTCAGCCTTCAGAGTTGCTGGGGTTACATTACAGACATGTGCTACCACCTCAGGCTACTCTGGTTGAAATGTGTGCCCCAAAGTTTATGTGTTTAAAATTTAATCCCCAATGCAAAAATGTTGAGAGATTGGACTTTCAGTATGTTATTAGGACACGAAGGCTCTGACCTGAAGAATAGATTCATGTGCCACAATCAAGGGAATAGATTCAGTATTGCAAAAATAGCAAGCATGTAAAGGATAAGTTTGTCTTCTCTCCCTTTCTCTCATGCACACTCTTTGTGATGTATTCTGCCATGTTATAATGCAGGAAGAAGGCTCTTGCCAGATGTGGTCCCTTAGACTTGAACTTCCCACCCATTTTAGTTAGCTTTTTCACTGGAAAGACCCAACCAGAACTGAAGTAGGACAGAAGAAGCTGGACACCTGAGGAATTTTCAGGAAGCAGGGTTATTGACTTCAGGATTCATAGGTGGTTCTTGCCTAAGATTCTCTGAACAAAGGTTTTGAAAATTCTTTGAATTTTATTCTCAGCAGAGGTGGTGGTGGCAGAGGGCACTTGGAGGTTCACATGGCAGGTGCTTTCTGTTCCATCTCTCCTCTAGACCAGACACTGCTTTCACAAGATTTTACCAAGAAAAGAGAGGTAATATCTTTTTGTACAACAAGCTTTCGGACTAACTCTGTCACACCTTTTGTGTGCAAACCTGGTATGTACAAGAAAGAGGAAACTAACAACCACCACAATAACCTCTGTAGACACCCTGCTGATCTGACAAGAGGAGAAGCTTAATTATGGCAAGAGTCTTTTGGGTGGGGGTACCTAGTATGCTTCAGAATAATTGTAGAGGAGGAAAAGTTTATTTGGGGGCTCATGGTTTCAAAGGCCTCAGTCCTTAGATAGCCCTCTCCATTCCTCTGGGCTCAAGATGAGGCTGAACATCATGGTGGGAGAGTGTGGTGTTGGGAAGCAGTTCACATGATGATCTGTAAGTAGACACACACACACACACACACACACA